CTGGAATGGAAGTCACGCCCCCCACTTCAAGTTGTCCCGCCCTTCCACATTGAACAAATGTAAACCTTACATGTACTGATTGATGTACTATGTCTCCCTAATGTGTACAAAAGCAAGCTGTACCCCAAAAAACAAAACAAAACAAAACAAAAAAAAGCAAGGTGCACCCCGGCCACCTGAGGCTGTATCACGGGTGTGTCCCTAACCTTGGCAAAATAAACTTTCTAAATTGACCGAGACCTGTCTCAGATATTTTGGGTTCACACTAGTAACTGCACTATTGGACAAGTAAAGCTCTAAAGAGGGAAGACAGGGAAGAGATACATAAGTGAAATGATAGGGTGTCACAGATAAAACGTTGAGCAAAATAAGTCAGATTTTTTTTTTTTTTGGAGATAGAGTCTCGCCCTATCGCCCAGGCTGGAGTGCTGTGGCGCAATCTCAGCTCACTGCAAGCTGTGCCTCCCGGGTTCATGCCATTCTCCTGCCTCAGCCTCCTGAGTAGCTGGGATTACAGGTGCCCACCACCATGCCCAGATAATTTTTTTTGTATTTTTATTAGAGATGGGGTTTCACTGTGTTAGCCAGGATGGTCTCGATCTCCCGACCTTGTGATCCGCCCACCTCGGCCTAAGTGCTGGAATTACAGGCACGAGTCACCGCACCCTGCACACCCCCCCTTTTTTTTTTTTTTTTTTTTGAGACAAAGTCTCACTCTACTGCCCAGGCTGGAGTGCAATGGCACGATCTTGGCTCGCTGCAACCTCCGCCTCCCGGGTTCAAGCAATTCTCCTGCCTCAGCCTCCCAAGTAGCTGGGATTACAGGCATGTGCCACCATGCCAAGCTAATTTTGTATTTTTGGTAGAGATGGGGTTTCACCATGTTGGTCAGGCTGGTCTCGAACCCTTGACCTCAGGTGATCCACCTGCCTCGGCCTTCCAGAGTGCTAGGATTACAGGCTTGAGCCACTGTGCCTGACCCAGATTTTTTTTTTTTTCTAAGTACATACTGTGTGATTTTATCATACAAAGTTCAAAATCAGTCTATAATAATGGAAGTCGCTGGGCACGGTGTAATCATGCCTGTAATCTCAGCACTTTGGGAGGCCGAGGTAGGTGGATCACGAGGTCAGGAGATCGAGACTATCCTAGCTAACGCAGAGAAACCCTGTCTCTACTAAAAATTCAAAAAATTAGCCAGGCGTAGTGGTGGACGCCTATAGTCCCAGCTACTCAGGAGACTGAGGCAGAAGGATGGTGTGAACCTGGGAGGCGGAGCTTGCAGTGAGCCGAGACTGCGCCATTGCACTCCAGCCTGGGCGACAGAGCAAGACTCCATCTCAAAAATAATAATAATAATAATAATAATAATAATGGAAGTCAGGAGACAGTTGCCTTTGGTTCTATTGACTAGGGGAGAGTGAGCCTTTTGGGATGCTGAAAATGTCCTATATCTTGTTCTGATGGCAGTGATGAGGGGGTCTGCATAGATTCAAATCCATTGATTTCTATGTAAACTCAAGATTTGGGCACCTAGTTAGGTGTAATTTTTACCATATATGTTATATATATAAAGCAAGTAATATTTATATTATACATGTATAAGCCTATTATGTGTGATTACGTGCTATAAAGAAAATAAAACAGGAATGGAGGATTGGCTATAGCCGCCTCCCGGCCCCCCTGCTTCCACCCTTGCCAGTGATCTCCCCCAGGTGCCCCCTCACCATCCCCATTCTTGCTTCCACCTCCCCAACCTCCTCAAGTCAGTTCTTCCCAGAACAGCTAGAGGAGTCTTTTTCAAAAGATAATTTCCACAATGTCATTCTCTGGATTCAAAGCCATCACTGGGGCTCTGAATCCACACCTGGCCTGACCCCAGGGCATCTGTGCTTGCTGGCCCTCTGCCCAGAGCACCCTGTCCTGCACTCTTTGCCCGGCTGTCTCCCGCTCCTGCCTCGGGCTGAGACTTCCTGGACACCAGCAGAGCAGTCCCCATCACCTGGTTGTACTTTGGTCACAACACTTATGACTCTCTGAAATCATCTTATTTATATGTTTTAAAAATAATTTATCTCCCCCTGCTAGCACCTCAGCTCTAGGACACAGATCTTCTGCTCTCATATTCACTGCTGTATTTCTTAGCCCCTTGGACTAAAGTCCTTACACATTGCAGGTGCTTTGTAATGTGTAAGGACTTTAGCAGGTGCTGAATGAATAACTGTTGAATAAATGAGAATATTGTAACTCTGTTCCATTTATCTCTCTGATCTCATCTCCCATGATTTCCACTCTCTCTCACTCCTCTTTGCTATTCCTTGAATATGTCAGCACATTTCCACCCCCAGACCTTTGTCCTGGCTGTTCCCTCCATCTGGAACGCTCTTCTCCCAGAGACCTGCCTGCTTTGCCCATTAGGAAGGACTTCCCTCCCTGTAGGCCTTTGCTAAAATTTCCCATTCTTAGTAAGCTCTTCCCTGAGCACCCCATTTAAAACTGCAAACGCTGGCCGGGTGCTGTGGCTCATGCCTGTAATCCCAGCACTTTGGGAGGCCAAGGCAGGTGGATTGCTTGAGGTCAGGAGTTCAAGACTAGCCTGACCAATACGGTGAAACCGTGTCTCTACTAAAAATACAAAAAAAAACCCAAAAATTAGCCGGGCATGGTGGTGGGTGCCTGCAATCCCAGCTACTTGGGAGGCTGAGGCAGGGGAATCGTTTGAACTCAGGAGGCGGAGGTTGCAGTGAGCTGGGATTGCCCCACTGCACTCCAGTCTGGGTGACAAAGCAAGACTCCATCTCAAAAAAAAACAAATCAACAAACAAACAAAAAACCCTGCAAACCCTTCTCATACCACCACGTCCCTAGCCCGTTTCTTATTTTCACTTTCCTTGCTTATCACCTGAGATAGATGCCATTATTAACAGCATCTATTGTAAGGTTTTACTTCTTTGCCTCACACACTACAGTGACTGCTCCACAAGGGCAAGGATTTTTATCTTTCTTGCTCACAGACCTATCACTAAATGTAGAAAAATAATTTACATATAGCAGGTACTCAATAAAAATGTGTTACATGAGTGAATACCTGTCTCCCTCACCACATGTGTGCGTGGGCAGGGGGGCTCTCTCACTTTCACCTCTGTGGCAGCAGCACCTGGCACTGCCCTGGCACAGCTCCCAGGACCAGGGTGTCTTCTCTTTCCTCCGAGACATCCTCCACCCAGCACTCCCTGCTGCCCCCACTTCTGGCCTTCTCCCACACCAGCCTCCATGCCCACTCACTTCCCCAAATAGTACAGGCCTTAGGACAGTGGAGGAGGAGGTGACTGCACTCTCCAGCTTTCTTACCAAAAGGTTGTATTTTGTTGGAGAAAGCCCCTGGTGAGGAGGAAGAGAAAGGAGAATAGAAGGAACAGCAGCAGTAGCCATTGGGGTAGCATCATGGCCCACAAGTGGTGGCGGCTTTTCTAAGGTCCAGCAAAATATCCTGCACACCAACCATGTGGGTGTGCTCCCAGCTGTGGGAACACCAGGTAAAACCAGCACCCAACCCTGTCAGAATTTTCCCATCCTGCACAAAACTCAGGCTAGGCCAATCAGCAAATTCCACCACAATGATTAGTTCAGGCAGACTAAGCCAATCCAATCAGAACCGATCTTAGGATGTTTGCTGAGAATTGTGGAACAGAGATGTTTTCTTTCTCTGAAAGGCACAATATTGATGTACATGGTGGATTTGTGGTTAAGAGCCTGGCCTCTGGGGCAGGATTGTCTGGGTTCAAGTCTCAGTTCCAACCCTTACTCTAGGAGCCTCAATACCCTGTTTGTAAAATAGGGATAATTATAACACCTACTATAGCCCTGTTGTGACAGAAAGATGAGTCAATACAGTTAAGAAAGCACTTTGGGCCAGGCGCAGTGGCTCATGCTTGTAATCCCAGCACTCTGGGAGGCTGAGGCAGGAGGATCACTTGAACCCAGGAGTTCAAGACCAGCCAGGGCAATATACTGAGGCCCTGTCTCTATTAAAAAGAAAGAAAGAAAGAAATTGGCTGGGCATGGTGGCACACACCTGTAGTCCCGGTTACTTGGGAGGCTGACGTGGGAGGATCTTTTGACCCCAGGGGGTTGAGGCTGCAGTATGCTGCGATTGAGCCACTGCACTCCAGCCTGGGTGCTGTCTTAAATTTTTAAATTAAATGAAAAAGAAAGCACCTCGCACAGTGTCTGGAACACAAGAAATGCTCAATAAATCCTACCTGTTATTAGGTGACACCTGGAATGTCTGTGAGTACTGGGAAGGAATTCAGCCTGAGAGCTGCTGGCTCTGGCCCCACCTGAGGGCTGCCCGACCTCTGGACTTCCACTTCTGATCACCAGGAAATCCCCTCCTCACCTAGACCAGTTTGGGTTGGTTTTTAAGATACTTGCAGCAGAAACAGGCCTCACTGCTACCGCAATTATATGACCTAGGGCAAGTCATGTCGCTTCTCTGGGCCTCAGTTTCTTTGTCCATGCAGTGGAACTGACAATACCTGAGAGAGCGGAGGCATCGATGCACCAGGTCCCTTTCCCACCACAGGCATTTTTGCATTTATACTTTGCACATTCTCACCAACTCTCTAATGACCTCTACCCTTTTGTGCCCCCAACCCGCCCCGTGAAATATTCAGATACCTCCACCTAGTCTCTACCTACCACACACCCCTTGATAGGCACCCCAACGTACACTCTACAGGCATATTCCTCAATCCCATCTCTCCCACACAGCCCTCCAGCCCTCCAACCAGAGAATCGGCCCTTTCCCAGACCCAGCCCCTGCTCCACCACACCGTCCCTGCGCCATTCCCTTCCTGGAGTTCTACCCTGAGCTCCGGACAGAGCCAAATCCCATGAGAAGCTCATTCATGCCTCCAGTCTCCCCTTTTGCCTGCCCCCTAGACTGGTGCAATCCCCACCAGGTCTCCTCGCCCAGAAAGTACAGACAGAGGCCAGGCCAGGAAGTGACTTTAATGTCTCAGGAGCTGGATTTGGTGCAAGTTGGTGGCACCCAGGGCCTCTGGCCCCAAGGGAGCAGTGATCAGTCTGCATCTTCCTCTAAATCATATGGCACCGGCTGGCACACATCAAGTCCTTGGATATGCATGTCAAGCCCAGCCGGCAAGGGCAGATGATGTTGGTAGCTCCCTTGGTCTGCAGGGAGTGGGTATGAGAATTGGGAGTCACCAGAATGCAGGAAGGATGGGGACTTAAACTTCTTAGGGACCAGAACCAAGAGTACCAGGGCTGGAGTAAGACAGACCTAGGCTGTCTCTACAGCTTGTAACTGCATGACCTTCAGCAAGTCAATGAAGTTTCCTCATGTGTCAAATGGGGACAGTAATAGTAACCCACCTCATAGGGTTGTTGTGAAGACTAAATGAGATAGAGCAGATCAAGTGGTGATAAGAAAAAGACCCTTTAGGCCGGGCACGGTGGCTCACCCCTGTAATCCCAGCGCTTTGGGAGGCCGAGGCGGGTGGATCACCTGAGGTCAGGAGTTTGAGACCAGGCTGGCCAACATGGTCATGTACTAATAATACAAAAATTAGCTGGGCATGGTGGCGCATGCCTGTAATCCCAGCTACTCCAGAGGCTGAGGTAGAGAAATTGCTTGAACCTAGGAGACGGAGGTTGCAGTGGGCCAAGATCATGCCATTGCACTCCAGCCTGGGCAACAAGAGCGAAACTCTGTCTCAAAAAAAAAAAAAAAAAAAAAAAACACCCTCTAGCCACTTCAGCTATAGGGTCAGGCCATGGTAGGGGCCCTGCTGCTTCCTTAGGGTATTGTCATCTCCCCACACAGGGACATAGAGGCTGAGCCCACCCATTCTAGAAAGGTTTGGGCCCAGGGCCAGGTGAGCAGGAACAGGGCATACTGAGCATTCTTCTCCCTGCATTCCTAAAAATGAGTGACAATCATGCTGGTCTGCACGCTGTCCTTCCCAGGACCACATAATCTTCCCAACAGCCTGGTGAGGTAGGTACTTTAGCCTCTCCTTGTAGATGAGGAAACTAAGGCTCAGAGAGCCATGATGACCTGCTTGAGGTCACAAAGATAGGGTGTGGAAAAGTCAGGATTTAAACTTAGGTCCAACTCCAAAGCTGTGGTCCTGCCACTACAGCGCCATGCTCCTCTCAAGAAATCATGTCACTGTGGCAGAGAGATGGGGACTAGTAAGGGGAAGGTCATTTCCCACTCACCCTGCCTCAGTGATATGAGAGAAGAGATATTCATTCATTCAACAAGCATTTACTGGCTGGGCACAGTGGCTCATGCCTATATTCCCAGCACCTTGGGAGGCCCAGGCAGGTGGATCACCTGAGGTCAGGAGTTCGAGACCGGCTTGGCCCACATGGCAAAACCCCATCTCTACCAAAAATACAAAAATTAGCCAGGCATAGTGGTGCATCCCTGTAATCCCAGCTACTCAGGAGGCTGAGGCACAAGAATTGCTTGAACCCAGGAGGCAGAGGTTGCAGTGAGCCAAGATCATGCCATTGCACTCCAGCCTGGGTGACAGAGCGAGACTCCATCTCAAAATAAACAAACAAAAATAAGCATTTATTGAGCACCTACTATGTGCAGACACTAAGCTGGGGGTAGGTGCTTCATAGATGAATATGATGCAATCCCTGCCCTTGAAGAGTTCTAATCACTGGGAGAGGCAGAGAAAATACATGGCCAGTTAGGAAGATACATGTCTGACCCTAGGGTACAGGAGCTCCAAGGAGGGAAGGCTTCTCAGAGGAGGTGGCTGGAGTTGTTTTGTACCATGAGTAGGAGTTTGCCAAGTGGAGAAGAGGAAGGGCACCCCAGACAGAGGTGAAAAAACAGGTGGGGCCAGGTGTTTTTTGTTTTTTTTTTTTTAACTTCCTCTGCCCGCTTCTCTACTTGCCAGAAGTTGCCCCATCCTAGGGCCTCACCTGGGGCAAGCAGATCATGGTTATTCTGGCCCTGGGGGCACAGAAGGCTCCACCGGATTCCATGTCCATGAGGCAGCAGCCACTGTAGCACTCAGAGTGGTGGAAGCACCTGTCTGTGATTTTCTGTGGGGACAGGCAGGATGTCTGCCAGGCTGGGGACAATCCCTGAGTTGTGTGGGAGGGTAGGAGAGGGTTCCCACCATTGCCAAAGAGCCCAGGGGTCCAGGAGAAGTTATGAGGTTGTCGCCCCCTGGGGGGACTGGTCCCCCCCCAGCCCCACCCCGGCCCCTCAGCAGGACCCAGGGGAGCAGAGGAGAGGAGGAGAGGGGGGTTAGCACTTTTCCTTCGGCCTCTCCTTTCCTGGACCGCCCTCACCTCCATGAGTCCCATAGGGTGTGTCCCATTTTGCGGGGCGGGGTTGGGGGGTGAGAATGAGGGGACTGCAGGCTCGAAAAAGAGGGAGAGAAAAAGAAGAGGAGAGAGCCCTCGTGCCTGGAAGAAACACTAGATAGTGAGGCGAGGCGGAGGAAGAGGGGGAGAAACCAGAGCAGGCAGGGAGGGTTTGGCTGTGAGCACTTTGGGGAGGCAAGTAAGCTCAGGACTGAGGCCATCGGAAGAGGCACGGGCGGGGGAGGTGGGGGGAGCGAGGGTGCTGGTCATAGGCCAATTTCTCTCCCCTCGAGGCCGCCAGGGGAGAGTGCAGCGGCTTTTGAAGTCCGTCTGAGGATGCCCCAAGCTGCCCGCCTAGGTGTGGTTCCGGACCCACCTCTCCCTTTCAGGCTGCCCGGCGCCTTCGGGCTCCACTGCCCCTGCGGCGGGGCCACCCTCCCCTGCGGTCGCGGCGGGCTGGGCGCGTTCCCTGCCTCACCTTTTTATATTGCGGAAGCGCGCTCCAGAGGGGCATCACCGCCCCCGCCAGGATCCCCGCCACGAGCGCCAGGGCTGCGGCCATGGGCCTGGGCGGCAGAGCAGCGGCGGAGCTCGGAGGGGCAGCGGGATAAACCCTCTTCGCCGGCCACGTGACCCGGCGCCCCAGGCCGCCCCCGCGGAGGAGGGGCGTGGAGGGCGCGGACGCCTGCGGAAGAGAAGGAGGGAGGAACCGCGCTGAGGCTCTCACGGCTGGGATTCTAGACTGTAGGGGCCTCCATACGTGTTACTTCCAAGTAGGAGCTTGAAACTGTAAGATAAAACTATGTTTTTATTGTATTTATTTATTTTACGGACGGAGTCTCACAGTGTCGCCCAGGCTTAAGTGCAGTGGCGCGATCTCGGCTCACTGTCATCTCTGCCTCCCAGGTTCAAGTGATCCTCCTGCCTCAGCCTCCCGAGTAGCTGGGACTACAGGTGTGCGCCACCACACCCAGCTAATTTTTAAAATTTCTGTAGAGACGGGGGACTCCCATGTCGCCCAGGCTGGTCTCGAACTCCTAGCCTCAAGTGATCGTCCTGCTTCAGCCTCCCAAAGTGCTGTGATTACAGGTGTGAGCCACCGCACCTGGCCTCAAAAATTTTATTTTTATAAACGGCACAAAACATATATGCTGAAAGAAAAAGAGCTTCCTTCCTGCTGCTGATTTTCTGTCTGCCCTCGCAGCCCCAGATCCTCCCCTTAACTTCAGGATAATCCAGCCCCACCCTCTGGGCTGCTCACACCCGCTGCAGGCCCCATTCTCCTCTTCTGTAAGAACCAGGAGGTGGGACAAGATGGTCTCTAAGTCTTAAATCTCGTGCAGTCCTAATCATTTTATTAATTGTCTAAGGATTCATCTGTGAATTGTGTGAAAGTCAAGATGTGGGGGCAAAATGGAGGGGTGGGAAGAGAAGAAAACTCAGAATGGGGAAGAGGGTTAAGGGAAAGCTGCATAGAGCAATCCTGGAACTGGGGGAGGCAGGTCTTCCTCAGGACTTCCCTATGGATGAAGCTTCCACCTCACCCCGCCTGCCTGCTTCTGCTTTTTTTAATTTCTTTTTTTTTTTTTAATTTTGTATTGTTAATATTTGTTATAGAGACAGGTTCTCCTTATGTGTCCAGGCTGTCTTGAACTCATGGGCTCAAGAGATCCTCTTGCCTAGGCCTCCCAAACTGGTGGGATTACAGGCGTGAGCCACCACTCCAGCCTGCTTCTACTTTTGAAGTTTTGCTTAAGAAGTGGACTGAGAAATCCTGTCTTGGTGGGGAATAACAGCCAAGAATAACAGCCCCCACCGCACTCAGAGGGCCCTGTATCCATTATTTCCGTGAGCCCTCCCTGTATTAACACTAGCTGTCACAAAGTAATTAACACTGGCTGTCACAACAGAACTCCTGGAATTTCATGGCTTGGCACAATAATGCTTTATGCAAAGTCTGATTTGGGGCAAGAGACCCTTCTTCCGTCCTGTAGCCACACCATCTATAAGACTTGCCTCTGGCTGGGCATGGTGGCTCACACCTGTATTCACAGCACTTTGGGAGGCCAAGGTGATAGGATCTCTCTCTTTTTTTTTTTTTTTTTTTTGAGACAGAGTCTCACACTATTGCCCAGGCTGGAGTGCAATGGCACAATGTCGGCTCACTGCAACCTCCGCAAAGTGCTGGGATTACAGGTGGGAGCCACCATGCCCGACCGAGTCTCTTGAGCTCAGGAGTTCAAGGCCAGCCCTGGACAATATAGTGAGGCCTCATCATTACAAAAAAAATTTAAGAAATTAGCCAGACATGGTGGCACATGCATGTAGTCCTGGCTACTCGGGAGGCTGAGGCTGCAGTGAGTTATGATCGCTCCACTGCACTCCAGCATGGGCAACAGAGTGAGACCCTGTCTCAAAAACAAACAAACAAACAAACAAAACTAGTGTCCAAGGTCTCCATGGAAGACCTGCCTTCTCCATTCACAAACCACCTGCTGGAACTCGTCACATGATCCCAACCTTCTAACCTTCTGCAAGGGAGGCTGGGAAATTCAAGGGAGTCTTGGAATATTTAGTATCTACTCTCATTTCTGCTGTGTAACTCTTAGCTCTGTTTTACAGACTAGGAAACTGAAGTCTCAAGATAAAGTTACTTGCCCAAGTAACAAGATGAAATGGCAGAGTCAGATATAAATCCAGGGCATTCTAGCTCCTGGGTCCAAGTTCTTACCACTAAACTACACTGGGAGCGGCCAGAGGGCTTTGCCCCTAGTAAGGGGGTTCCCATCATTAACTATTAAGGGGGGTCCAGCAGTCGTGGTCTGAGCTCTCTTCATATGTGTGTTCTGCTACCTTGGCTAACTAGCGACCCATCCACGCAGATCATTTGTAAACTGGAGAGGAGGCCTGGGGACGGATACTTCTTGTACTGCTTCACTGGCTTCCTTTGCCCATACCCCCATGACCGTTAGACACTTGAGAAGTATTGTTGACTGCTTAGGAAAGTGGCAAATTTGAAGGCAAGGGGCCAGCAACTGTGTGTCAGGGTTGGCAGCCCCTGGGGAACCCACTGAAGGCTCTGAGGGGTGGTGAAGCCGCTGGAATTCCGTACAAAATATTATGTGCATGGATTTTTTTTTCTTTTTCTTTTTCTTAAGCCAGAGATCTTCTGGTTTCCTCAAAAACAACTGGTTCAGAACCTTTATTTTCAGTTGAGGAAACTGAGGCCCAGAGAGGGCAAGGACTTCTCCCAGTGACTCAGCTGGTGAGTAGCAGAGCCAGGCCTAGCTCTGCTCCTGACTCTAAGTCCTGTGCTTTTTCTCCTGTACCATGGCCTGCCAGCACTGGTCACAGGCACATGTCCAGAGTACCTCTGCATTGCGGGGGAGTAGGAACCATATCACCAGGGTCTCCAGCGCTGGGAATCACTGAGCTGCCTGACCTGTGGGCATGGCCACAGCTCTGCCCAGGGCCCAAAACTGGCCACCTCAGACTTCAGTGAGCAGAAGGGGGTCAGTTCAGGACAGGGGAGCACCTTGCTGGTGGAATTCTTTCCCCCTATTTCCTGCCCCTTCACCTTCCCCTCCTCTGATAGTCTTTAATGTCTCACTTCTTTTCTTCTGCATCTTTCTGGTGGCCCAAGTGGTGGTTTCCATGACAATGTTCTCACTGGTCTTCAGCAAAATGAAAGCAATAAGGATAATGTAGTAGTGTTTTTGTTAAAGGTAAATATATTAAATTTATTATTATTAAACAAAAAAAATTTTTGAGACGTCACCCAGGCTGTAGTGCAGTGGCACAATCTTGGCTTACTGCAGCCTTCACTTCCTGGGTTCAAGAGTCTCCTGCCTCAGCCCCCCTCCAAGTAGCTGGGACTACAGGTGCGCGCCACTACGCCTGGCTAATTTTTGTATTTTTAGTAGAGGTAGCGTCTCAACATACTGCCCAGTCAAAGAAATGTATTTAATTTAAAAAGTGATTATTTATTTTGAAATTACGTCTTTTCTACTTCTTTGGTGTTAAAATGTGCTTTTATGAAATAATGGCCGTCAGGGGTTTAAGACCAACCTGGCAACAAAGTGAGACCTCTGTCTCTACAAAAAATAAAAAAATTAACTGGGCATGGTGGCATCTGCCTATGGTCCCAAATACATGGGAGACTGAGGTGAGAGGAGCTCGAACCTGGGAGATTGAGGCTGCAGTGAGCCATGAGATAGACTGTCTCAAAAAAGTAATAATAATTAAAATAAATAAAATGGTGATGGTATTTGGAGGTAAAAAATAACAAATAAAATATTTAAAAATATATTTTAAAAAAGCAATAATAGCCACGATACAGTAGTAGTTTTGTTTCATTGTTCATGTTCTTTTTTTGGGCATATATATATATATATATATA